TATCTTGCTCGATGTCACAATTTTCAAATAGACGCGTTTTAGGTCACATTCAAAGAGATATGAAACCACAAAATAGTGTCACATATTTATAAATTGTTATCACAGACACAGAATATTCTAAGTTACAATTATACAATATAGTGTGTCACCATCACATAACATACTACAAATAATTTAGGTTATGATCTCATATGTGACAGTCACACAACATAATATTTTCTTATCTAATTCAAAAAGAATAAATTTGCATGTTTGAGCCACATTATTTTGGTAATAATGCATTCTTGAATAGTGTATTGATGGGAAATGTGTAGTTAAAAAATAGGAAAAAGTTTTTTATTTGCGTGTAATATTATTTTATTGAAGAATGTGTGGTTTAATTAATGTCAAATCACTGTTTAAAAATACATTTTTTTGGAATAATGTAGCTCAAACAGGCCCTAAATTTGCAAACTTAAATTTTATAATTTAATCTTATATCGAGACAAATATATTTGTGACGTTTATGTTTAGAATGTTTCAATTCAAGTCCTATATTCAATTTCATACCAATATATTAATTTATTTTTACTTGTCTGAAGTATGATACTTTTATATCTTTAAAATTGTGATTTGAAACCCAACAAAACTACATAAATTGATTTGATTTAAAAAAATGAAGTGATTTTGTTTGGAATTTTTGTAAATCATTTAAAGTGTTGTAGTTTGAAAATAATTCAAAAGTCGATCCAACTGAACAATGTTTATACCCAGGAAAATGGATTAAACTGGTCGTACAGGGCCAATGACAAGGATTTTTCCTGCTGACAGGGAAAATGCACAGGCTCCTTTCAGGTCCTGCACTGTTAGCACCTGTATGACTGCCTTTTTTTTTGGGGGGCCAACAATTAGTACCTATAAAAATTTTGTGAAGGAGCCATGTACGTGTAGCATTGCTCCAACGATAGGGACCATTTCTAGGTGCTGAAAATGACAATTTTTGATTGACAAAATTTTCTTTTATTTTTTCAACTGTTAATGAAATTTCGTCAAGTTTATATTGGTATAAAATCATGTTATGGACCATATTCTTGTAGCAAGTCTGTAAGTGAATTAAGCTTTTCTAAACTAAAATTTGAAATTATAAAAGTAAATCAAGACTTATTTCAGGAATTAAGCTTTTCTGAACTAAATTCTCAACTAGCTTAAAAGTTAAAACAAATTCATCGATCAACCAAAAAAAATGTTACCTAAATATAAAAAAATATAGAGCAAATCTCCATGCGTACAATAGCCCGTTAAGTTATTACAAAAATTCTTACGTTGACAAAAAAGAGATAGACATCTTTGTTTCCTTGTAGAGTATAACTATTTATTTCCTTGTAGAGACACACACAGTAGTATATAAATACCACTGTCCATTGCAATTTTCTATCTGCTCTAGCCACTCTATCTCTCTTCTCCATCGTCTTCCTTAATGATGCTTGATATTTTGAACCTCTTACTATATGTTTTTGCCTCAATTGTGATGTTTTTAGTTTATTCAATGTCTGCTGTCAAAGAGGCGGGATAGATATGCAGAATCGGAACAACATGAATTGCCAGTTGGAAACCATCAACTGTCGCCATCGCCACCATCATCCCAACTTCAAATCGATCTCAGATAGTCATCAATATTTACATCAAACAAGAAGGTGGAGATACGTGTCTTTCTATTTTGAATTCAAAGACCAGGAATTGTTCCAGTGTCTTTCGGCGTGCAACCAAGAATTTCACTTCGAATGCATCAAAACATGGTTGTATATCACTCAAACCTGCCTATTGTGCCGCTGGAGTACTGTCATTAAACCATGATTCTTGTTTTTCTTATATTACAAATCTTGAACTCTTTCTTTCGATTTTGATCCTAGAAAGACATTTTTTTTACATGAACACGATGTTTAGTTTTTGAAAGTTACTCAGAATGGGAGATGCTTTCATTGAACGAATGTTGGCAAGGACTATAGTGTACAAAGTGTAGTCATGAATGAAGACGGATCAATAAAGTTTTTTTTTTTTGTTTACTTTATTGTATTATCTTTTAACTTTGTGAGTAATGAATCTCATCTTCTTGGATTTTTTTCAAAAAGCTCCATTTAGATAGAAAATAATTTATAAATTCAGTTCAAATCAAACACTAATTTTAATCACATATTACTAAATACTACTTATTACTATTTTCACATTTCATAAGAATTGAGAATTGTAAAAGTAATATGGTGAAGAGAGTGGTGTTGGATATACTCTGGAAAATAAAGGATATAAGCTGTGAAATGAAATTAGAGTTCAGGTACGTACGACAAAAAATATGATGATTCAATCATCAATTGCTCAATTTAAGAATTTTTGTTATTTAGTCCTTCAAATTTGTAATTAATTTAAAAATAGCATAAACTTAAATTGTAAGAATCCCATAATTGTTAGTCACTTTAAAAATATTACAACGAGATAATATATTTTACTGGTTATAACTATTTAAACATTCATTTATTTTGCCCATTTTTGGTTCTATTAAAAAAATTAAATTAAATCTAAGTTAAAGTCAATAAATAATTTTAATCGCATATTTTATGAGATAAAAAATATTTCAACCATACATTCTATTGATTTCTATCAAAATTTAATTTTTATATAAATCAAACAGCTTAATTGAAGGCAATCGTGCCCCATAAATAAGGCCTAAAGCCACACTCTAATCTATCCCCTTCCCCATTTCATCTGGCTAACCCATCATCCAGCACCAGACCTTCAACGATATACCCCCAAATCTGTCCCCATCAATACGCTCATATACTTGATAGTTGACAGCGTCATAGGCCACGAATTGCTTAAAATCATGATTTCAAAATTTAATTATCTTTAATCAAATCATTGGAAGAAGTACAAAAAATATGAGTTAATACTACACAACATATATACACTTTATTAATTTTAAAAAAATGAAAGATTTCATTTGGAATTTTTGTAAGTAATTTAAAGTGTTGGTAGTTTGAAAATAATTCGAAAATCAATCCAACTGAACAATGTTTATCCCCAAGAGAATGGATTAAACTGGTTGTACAGGTTTGGTGGCAGGGATTTTCCCTACGGACAGGGAAAAATGCATAGGCTCATTTCAGTTCCTATATTGATAGCCCCTCTATGGCCCCCCCCCCCCCCTTTTGGGGCCAACAATCAATTAAAAATTACCCAGTGTGGTATCTATAAAAAAAAATTGAAGGAGCATGTACCTATAGCATCCCTTCAACGATAGGGGCCATTTTCAAGTGCTGAAAATGGCAATTTTTATAGACAAAATTTTCTTTCATTTTTACAACTGTCAATAAAATTTGATCAAGTTATATCTATATAAAATCCTGTATTGACCGTGTTCTTGCAACAGATCTGTAGAAGAATTAAGTTTTTCTAAACGAAAAATTGAAATTATAAAAGTAAGTCAAGACTAATTTCAAGAATTAAGCTTTTCTTAAATAAATTCTCAACTAGCTTAACAGTTAAAACAAATTCAATGATTAACAACAAGAAAAAGTTTCCAAAAATTAAAAAAAATCTAGAGCAAATCTCCAACCGTACAGTAATCGTTAAGCGGTTAAGGTAATAAAAAAATCCTTATGTTGACTGAAAACAAATAGGCAAATTTTATTTCCTTGTACAGACTCCCACACTAGTACATAAATGCCATTGTGCATTACAAATTAATGTCTGCTCTAATCGCTCTGTCTCTCTTCTCCATCGTCTTCCTTAATGATGCCGGATATTTTGAACCTTTTACTATATGTTTTCACCTCGATTGTGATGTTTTTGTTAATTCAATGTCTGATGTCAAAGAAGCAGGATAGACACGCAGAATCAGAACAAAATGAGCTACCAGTCGTAAGTCGTCCGCCATTACCACCAACGTCGCCGCTACCATCATCCCCAACTTCAAATCGATCCCAGA